GGGGGGGGGGGGCACCTGTCACACTCACAGCTGAGAGCAGGGACACCACACGTAGGGTCTGAAGGATCCTGGTCCCAAGGGCTGCCCAGCTCTGCCGTCTGACTCTTCCACTTCCTTCCACCGCAGGACGGGGGCCTCCCAGGAGAGCCATGGCCCTCCCACGACTCCTCTGGATGTGGCTGCTGGTTGCAGGGACCCAAGGTGAGCTGAGCCCCAGGAATGCCCAAAGCGGCCATCTGAGGGGCCGCTGCTCCGCCTTCTGTGGGGCTGACCCCTCCTTGGAAAATCTAGGCAATGTTCTGCCTGGGTCTCCGGGGTCAGCCCGGGTCTTCTCTCCTGCCTGGAGCCCTGGCGATCCCCAGTGACGGTGGCTTATAGGTTCTGGGGGGACACCAAGGGATTCTCCGTTTCATCCAGTGGGACCCGGAGGGACTGAGCACTGGGAGCCCATCACACAGGCCGAATGCTGGGGGTTGGGGGAGGCGGGTCACGAATCAGTGCCCTGTGGACCCAGTCAGACTTCAGAGTTCTGGATGCCTGTCTTCAGAAGTGTTCTCAGGAGGCCCTTCCTTGTCCTGGTGACCCCATGGAGGCCTGCTGCACCCCCAACTGAGAACTACCCTTTGACATGGCACCCAGCTCCTGCCTGACCCTGTCCCAGAACAGCCCCACTTTCTCTCTGCACCTGGCGTTTCCTGCCAATGTTTCTGGGGGGGTCGCTGGGCCTGCCACTCCTGGACTCCTCCCCCCCCACCCTCCTAGGGGTCCATGCTGTAGTGCACAGGCAGCATCCCCGAGCCCCAGACGCCCTCAGGTGGGGTCACATAGGCCCCTCCTCCTCCATTCTGCCCCCCGGGGTCCCGCCTCCCCCGTTCTCAGGCTTTAGGGTCCCAGCTGCCCCTCCTGCCCCTTCTCTACCAACAGAGGAAGGACTCAGACCTCAAAGATAAGAGGCGTTTTACCTCCTGGGGGAGGGGGCATGTCCTCTACTCCTCCCCTACAGGTGAACCCCTCGACGATGGATGGATGGCTTTAAAGTTCGTTGCACAGCAGGCACCCCGCCCTGGGGGGAACTGACAAGTGGTCCTCGGGGGGCAGGGCCCCCAGATAGGGAGGGAGGTGGGCCTTCCTCCCTGCTAACCTTTCTGTTCCCTTGGGGACCCTGTAGGTGTGAAAGATGGGGACATGCGCCTGGCCGACGGGGACAGCACCAATGAGGGCCGCGTGGAGATCTTCTACAGAGGCCAGTGGGGGACGGTGTGTGACAACCTATGGGACCTGACGGACGCCAGCGTCGTCTGCCGGGCCCTGGGCTTTGAGAACGCCACCAAGGCTCTGGGCAGAGCTGCCTTCGGGCCAGGTAGGCCTGCTGATCCCCAGGTCCCAGAGCTGGGACCGGCTGCCGGAGAAGGGCCGGGCCTCCTCACTCAGCTTTGGCCAACACTTAAAGAAGGGCTAACACCCGAGCTGGCCAGGGGCACTCACACTGGCCTTGCCGGCAGCCAGTCCCTCAGGCCCTGGGAACCATACCTTCCTGAACCATCCCCCCGACCCCCGGGGGTGGGGGGGGGG